TTTTTTTTCGTTTAGTTTTTTTTTATAGGATAGGGTGACAAACGAGCACACAGTCCACCTGATGGTGAGTGGTTACTGTGACCCATAGACATCTATATCTATCTCAATAAAGACTCAAGATGCAGATGCGTTGTCCCCCATGAGGATTAAGATGGAATGCCTCTTTGCCAGTAAAAAGGGTCTCCGGTTCTCTACACTCACCATACGAAACACAGCAGCGTTAAGCTGCTATTTCACTCTGGTTTTCTGTGAGAGCGTGGTCCTTCCCCGGTCGAGCCGACTCATTCGTGCTACAACCATAATATACCTGCAGCATGGCTCTACCACGTAGAAATTTACCGTGTTTATATGGAGATTCTCTTGTCTTTTATTAAATAAAAAATACATCACTTTAAATTGGTTTGAGAGACCAACCGTTTCAGAGAAATGGGTGTTTTAAAAAACATACGAATCGTATATCCATTTTTTTTTTACACCCATTTCTATTGTTCGGCATTCCCCGCTTGTTGGAGAGAGTTATAAAATAGAGAAATTTAGTCGCGCTGCTGCTGTGAAAATCTGCTAATTCAAATTGCCTAGAAGAATTTTACACTTGAATCAAAAAAAATTGTGTCAACAATTCTGTTATCATGTAACTTAAAAACAAGTGAAATTTTCAAAAATATTTATTATTTGTTTTAATTTCCCCGTTATTTTCATATTCTTACATTGTCATCCGCTTTTGAGCTATATTCAAAATATCAAGTCTCAATCTGTTAGATAAGTCTTAAAATCAATGACTAAATGTGACCAGAACATAATGAACCGACTGGAAAAAAAAATACGTGGTAAAAACAAGCATTATGAAAAGTCAATCAATTTCCTTTAGAGATCCAACACTAAAAGCTCCTGGAAACTCACCGTAATTTATATATCTGACGTAAGAGAGAAGAGTACCCATTAGGGACCCAGATCGATCTTGCTTTCATAGTAACATGACACTGCTGACCCATTTTGAAGATATGTCGGAAGTGAGATTTTAGGTGCACGTTGCAAGGAAATAATTGAGATACGTATTAAGCGCTATAAATATATTTTTCAAAGGGATTAATATAGAAAAAATCGAAAGAGGTAAATCTATACATTTAATAAATATAAGTAAATTTGAATTATCTGTCTGTAATATTAAAAAAAAATGTCTTCTATTAAGCTTAGGGGTATTTGCATGCTATGAGCACATATATAATCATTTAAATAAATATTATATAAATGTAAATTATGTAATATGTAAAATATTTGTCTGTCTCTTCGCGCTAATCTTCGGAATGGCTAAACCAATTTTGATGAAACTTTACGAACTGATAGAGAGCGATGCCAAGCGGGATCTAGGTTAGGTTTTATCCGAAAAACTTGAAGATTTAAAACAAAATTAATAAATAATTTATCTTGGATTATCTTACATCTAAATAACGCCACATTAAAAAATCCTATCTAAGGGAAGCTGGGGCGGGTCGCTAGTTGTTTGACGGCTCCGTGGCGCAGTGGCTTAGCAATGAGTTGCTTGCGCTGGGGGGCGCTGGTTCGAAAACCGCACGGAACAAGTATTTGTATGGCCTACAAATAATTGTTCCGGGTCTGAATGTTTGTCCTTGTGCAATTTGTGTTTGTAAACTGCCTCCACTGAAAAAATCCTAGTGTGGGGGTAACGGTTTTTTTAAAGAAAAAAAAGGAAAGTTTATACGTACTTATAGCCTATTGTTATTTTTCTTATTTTTATTTATTTCTTCTTCTGGGTTGTCTGAAAGGAATTGCTATATAGCAAGACCGCCCTTTGTATTTCCCTCAATAGTTGTTTATTTTTTTGTTTTTGATATTTTATTAGTATTGTATTGTATATTGTATTGTATAGCTACTAGTATAGTGCTAATAGTTACTATCACAGAATACATGTACCGTAACGGTTACTATGACTGTATAGTGGCGGTGTAAGAATATCCACCAGCCCGTATCTTCTTGTGGGTATCGTAAGAGGCGACAGAGGGAAATACATCAAGAGATGGGCATCAGCGTCATGTTTTAGCTTTTAGCTGACATGAAGCACCAACGTTCTGGTTCCGTCATGTTCTAGATCGTTCCCGCCATTACATCAGATTTGACAAACCACAAATTCTCGCGAAAGAACATCGATTCCTGCCAAGGATGATACGCGAGGCTATTGAAATTAAAAAAGAAACATCCTAATTTCAATAGAGAGGGAGGCTGGGTACTAACCACCTGCTTGGGATCTTGTAATTAATAAAATTAAAATTAAACCCAAGCATACCACTGCAAGACTTCAAGACACAGTAAATTCATTATGCGTAGATCAGACCAAAATTAATAATTAAAAAAGCTGAAGGTACTCCGGGTTATCTCTGATATCGGGACGTCAATCACCTCAGTCCCCCGTGACCATAGGTGCTGTAAAGCACCCGAAACGTCGAGAATTAATAAAAATAAGAAAAATAGGTTAATTAAACGCGCAAAAATCCGTAAAAGTAGTTTTATTCAACGGCTTTTACTTTTTTAAATGTAATTTAGAGCTTCTTTTCCGCCTAGGAGTCTGACTGAGTTGGTTGTACCCCACTCTCATCGATTTCTGCCGGTAAGCAGCATGCATTCAGTTCCAGTCTGAAGAGTCTGGAAAGCCAGTTCCATTACAAGAAAAGAGGAATTTTAGTCAGAGTCATTCTATATCTTAAGTATAACAACGCATCTGATGCATTCTTGATTTCAAGTTATCCAATTTAGCCATTGGTAAATGGAGGATTATTAACTCGCATAACACTACAATGTTTAACTCGTTGATCCATAAAAAAATCTAAAAAAACAAAAATGGATGTTAATTTCGACAAATTTGTATGTGTTCTTTCCATTGCAATTTTGCAATATGTTAGAATCAGAACTGTGTTTCATTAAACACCTGTCTCTAAGCAAACACGGTGTTATATATAAGGACATACAAACTGCGATCAATTTAATGAACAAACATTGTTCCGGCTGCAGGCACTTGATTCAACCTGAGACGTCATTCGTTGCTATATGAAAGTAATGCTGTTACACGTAGTACTAAAGTTCAGTTTCGTTTGTGGCTTTTTGTAGAATAGGAAATTCGTGATTCAAAGCTTTAGTGTGTTTCAATTTAACGAGTCTAATGGGCACTTTCAACGCGAGTAGCTAAAATCCAATGGAGTTGCAACAGTTTGGCTTAAACAATGGATAACTGCTTAAACGTTATTTATGTTATTCCTATTTAATAAGCGACTTTTAATAATTTCTGTTCTAAAATCATACAAAAACAAGAAGTTTATCAAACAAATCCAGTAAAGCGGAGCACTTTGGGAATCACTTCGATGTCTATCTCTCTCTCTCTCTCTCTCTGTATGCCACATCTTTTGTGAGAGTACAAGATGGTTGTATATGATAATGATGATTGGCATAGCTAGAAAATGCGAATAAACATAAACATAAACACTCACGCCTGTCACCCAGAGGGGTAGGAAGAGACTATGGACTTCCATTTGGCACGATCCTGACACGCCTCTCTCGCTTCCTCCATATCCATATACCTACGCATACACGCTCGTCGGTTAAAGGTAGGTAAAAATGCGAATACTTATATTTCCAAATACAGATTTGAGGTAAAAAATTTGAATATTCTATTTAAGAAGTTATTTTTCTGGGTAAAAATAGTTAAAAAAAGGATGCCTTAAACGCATCTCGTAGTAAGCATTCTCCAAAATGATAGTCTCACCCCACCATAACCCCAAAGGGATTCCATGAACTATCTGGAAAAAAAAAACATTTTGTGAATAGAATAAATTAAAAAAAAATAATTACGCTTGCTTCTATGCATTTCTTTTTTCAAATATTTTCTGTTCTATGTATATTGAAAACATAAGAGAATTTAAGACAAAAATCTGTTTGCATAAAATTGCTCAAATTAAACAATTAATTTATTAAAGACTAGCTGTGCCCCGCGGTTTCACCCGCGTATATCACGCGTCTGCGCCTTGCGACATGCGAACTTCGAGAGAGACATCACGACGGATGGTTGATGAATTAAAAAAGATTTAAGAAGTGAAATATGTTACTAAAATTACATGGTTAACGTAATTGGTGGTTATGCATGATACAGGTACTGATACGAATAATGTCGCCTAGTTTGTACCGGCGCGGCGTTACTATTTCACATTTTAACATGAAAAAGTAGTTATTGTGACATAACTGTAATAGTTAAACATATGGTATTGGAGACTTTTTTGTAGATATTGATATCCTCTATAAAACTGAAGTACATTACTTTGCTCTATTATCAATAGTTTCCGCAGCGTACGCGATATAAGGATTATTTTTAGTATTTTTTTCACACCTTGGGTGACATTAACGAAGTTTTCATACGGATCCCTAACATTTTTGAAAATATTATATAGCCTATGTTCATCAGGCATAATGTAGGATTCTAATGGTGAAAGAATTTTTCAAATCGGTCCAGTAGTTTTGGAGTCTATTCAATTCAAACAAACGAACAAACAAATCTTTCCTTTTTATAATAGGAAGTGTAGATGTAGATAGTGTAGATAAACGATAAGAATTAAATTTAAAAGAAATGTAAAAAACTTTTTGGTTTGCATAATTTTCTTTATATTTTTCATACAGCCGTGAACGTGATCAAAATGTTTTCATTTCATGATTTAAAAAGTTTTGTATGGAAAGTTCACTTTATTTGAGATTATATAAAAACTGTTAATAAATACTTAAAAAAATACTTCAATTTTCTATGAAATCGTTATATATTATAATATGTAAGCATTTGATTTGATTTTATCGACATTTGCTAATTAAACGATAAAATAAGTAGACTGCCCAGTTTAATAACGACTTTTAATTTGGAAAATGTTTGTTCACAGGCGGGTTGGCTCTCGGTCGGCGTAAGTGCCGGGGCGGAGCGGGGGCCGCGGGCGGCTCGCCGAGTTGACGTCATGCTCAACGACTCCAACTCAACAGCCAACCTCTCAGACCTGGCGCTCGACCCCGACCTCCCAGAAAGCCCCTACAGCCTGGCCCAAACGATCGTCATCGCAATCATCGGTAGCGTCCTCTCCGTTCTAACCGTCGTGGGCAACTCGATGGTCATGATCAGCATCAAGATCGACAAACAACTGCAAACAATCAGTAACTATTTTCTCTTCTCACTTGCGGTCGCAGACTTCGCTGTCGGCTTGATATCCATGCCGCTCTTCACAATGTTTACAATATTCGGGTATTGGCCACTCGGGCCGCATGTATGCGACACTTGGTTGGCACTCGACTATCTAGCGTCAAACGCTTCGGTGTTGAATCTGCTTATAATAAGTTTCGATAGATACTTTAGTGTGACTCGCCCGTTGACGTACAGGGCTAAAAGGACTACTCGTCGTGCGAAAGTTATGATAGGTGGTGCGTGGGGTTTTAGTTTAGTGTTGTGGCCTCCGTGGATTTATGCGTGGCCGTACATTGACGGTGAGCGAAAGGTCCCCCCGCACGAGTGCTATATTCAGTTCATAGAGACAAACCAGTTTATTACCTTCGGGACTGCTATCGCGGCATTCTACGTGCCAGTGACAGTGATGTGTATATTGTATTACAAGATATGGAGGGAAACGAAGAAAAGGCAAAAGGACCTGCCTAATCTACAAGGCGGGAAAAAGCATGACTCCTCGAAAAGATCTAATTCAAGGTGAGTGTTCATCTTTTATTATATTGAAAATTATTCATATCTTATTTAAATAATAATGTTTATTTATTAAGGGATCAAATTATTTATATCATGATATACATTTAGAATTAAAGAAAATCATAGAAATATTGTATACACATGCACTTTACACTTCATTAAAGTTAAATTATTAATTAAGCAACATTTAGCGTCGGATTATCGTTTACAAAATACACAGTCAGGAGACATCTGTTGATCATTTACCTGTTGTATTTAGTTTTCGTGGGTTAGTGTATAGGTCAATGAAGATTTTAATTTTGTAATCGATTACGAACGGTTTTACTAAATTGTATTTCAACCCATGTTTTTGAACGTAAACGACCGCACGCAAGTCAGTCAACCCCAAATGGCTGCCAATTGGATTCAACCTCACGAACGAAAATAGTGGGAGAGAGGGAGAGATAGTTAGTACTTCAGTCTTATAGTATAAATAAACAAGCTATATAAATACTTTAAGAATCTAAGTTCGAATAGAATTACCGACTGCTTTAGCAGACAGACTAGACTGTTAGCTGACAACCAAATAGATAGAATTAATATTTCAATGTAATAACGACTATAACAGTTTAAATTCCGAAGTTTTACTGTCAGTAGGCAACCCTATTATTAAATAATATAGTATCCTATTACATTAGGGGTCCGAATTACATAAATCTAAACCAATATAAAGTAAGCGAAACCACTACATTTTAATTTAATATTCGCATTCGAACCAAACGTTTTGTTTCGTGTATCGTACGTACAGCAAATCAGTGGAATAATCTGTCTTTCCATCGATTACATACTGGGCGTCCTCAACGCAAGAGTGTACTGGGTTTTTTTAAGCAAAGATGGTGCGATTAACCGTCTAAGACTTTATCTCCACTTAATATCAGGTGAGATCGCAGTCAGGCATTGGCCTGTAATAAATTTAAAAACAAAATGAAAGCTATTTTCTTTAAAAAAATGAGACTATTAACGTCTATATAAGCAATTTCTATAATTTACTACTTTTTAAATGTATAGGCGAACATGTTACAAGCCTTTGAACATAATTTAAAATATGTTACTAGTACCTAATCAGTGTAACACTGTTGGTTTCTTTAATTAATAAAATAGCAGTAATAAAATTAAAAAAATGTACAACCAACTTCAATATAAATAAAATGAGAATATCATCGATGTAGTCAAAGTCGAAATACGCATTATTAAGGATAAATCAAAAACTTCTGATCAAATCTTGATCATGGGACCACATGAGAAGCACCAGCCTTAAAATAAAAAAGAATAATCAAAATCGGTTCACCATATATATAAAAAATACATTCGAATTAAGAACCTCCTCTTATTTTTGAAATCGATTGAAAACTAAGAGATAAGATAAGATAAGATATTTATTTGTAGAAACATGAGTATACATACAAAGCATGCAGGTTGTTCAGATATATTAAAAGGATCAGTCATGTTTGACCTTTGTGGCGTACAAATGTATAAATCAATGAAAATATTACAAATAGTATACAATAATTGAAAATGAAATATTATTAAAACATTATTAAACTATTTTTAACAATTTTATCAATAAATCTAAATGTAAAGAATAAATTAAATGCCTGTTAATATTATATAATAGAGGTTAAGAGAATTTTCACAGTATGCGAGGAATCCAATCCACGGATGTATGAAACTGTTAACTGTAATTTTAAGTGCTAATTTAAAACGTGGTCGTGAGTGAACCTTATTATCTGAGGGATAAAATGACAACGCGCACTGCAGCAACACGGCTGACTTATTGCTCCTTAACCCATTCGGAAATGAGAGGAAGCTTGTCGTCAGCAGTCGAAATTAGCTTAACTTTTATTATGTGGATACTGTGGTCCACACGCGTATATCTTTCTTTTTGCCACTCACCATGTGAAAAACATCAGCATTATGTCCGTAATGGTCCACCCCTCTCCGTTTCAGGAAGTATTTGCAAATTTATACGTTGTAGAGCCATGCTACACCTATGTTATGGTTTTAACACGAATGGGCCGGCTTGGAACCGTGGAAGGACCACGCTCTCATAAAATTACAGCTTAAAATAGCAGTTACTGTGTTTTGTATGGTGAGATCATCAATTGATTCTATCCCCAAACAAAATTGTTTCGCCCATTCTGTTATGTTAGAGTACAAAGGGGAAGAATGGTCGTACACAGCAACGAGCCGTATGCTCGTTTGCCCCCTTTCCTATAAAAAATCCAAACGTTGTTTGTTTTCCGCCGATGTCTTACCTTCTTTTGTCAAAAAAATTATCACAGCTAGATGCTCGATATTATGGATTTCGTATTTTAATCCATCGTCTGACTTTATTAGGCTATATTATCACTATCACAAAATAAAATAATTTTATAACTTTTAGTGGGTAGTTAACGAAAAGTCCAGTAAATTAATGAGATGAAAGATTTGTATCTCTGATTAATCTAATGTGTAGGAAACTTTTGAACCTTACCTAATGTATGGGCCACAGCATCCATTTACCATGAGGTGGACTGTGTGCTCGTTTGTCGCTCTTATTCTAAATTTAAAAAATCGCCAAGATTGGCACGCTAAAATTATTAACTACTCGTATATTCAACTGATAAAATAACTGTTAGTGTATATTGCTTTTTTATGAAACAGAATTTCCTCACTCATAAAATAAATGAAATTTGTTTTTTTTTAAATTCAATATAGATTATAAATAAAAGTTATTGAAAGTCATTCTCATGTTTAATTTATCACTACTAGTTACAGTATTACTTTCACAGCTGAAATAGTAAGTTGTCGAGTTGCCACACGTGAATATACTCGAGCCCCGCCTGTTTCTTGTTAGAGAGCAGTAATGGCGGTTTTTACTTGCGGTTCCCCGAGCGTTTTTCCAAATTACTTTTGTTGTAGACCTGACAATGCTAAATCATTCAACACTCGTAACTCCGAGTGCAGAGCTTTGAAACTTTTAGATCTGTTCTACTTTAAGCAGTACTAGTCACTACCTTTTTTTATAGAATAAGGGTGACAAACGAGCACACAGTCCACCTGATGGTAAGTGGTGGCTGTAGTCCATAGACATCTACATCTATCTTCGTTTGCGAATTAAAATTCAGATGCGTTGTCAGCCATGCGGACTAAGATGGAATGCCTCTTTTCCAGTAAAATGGGTCTCCGCTTCTCTACACTCACCATACGAAACACATCAGAATTAAGCTGCTATTTTACGCTAATATTCTGTGAGAGCGTGGTCCTTCCCCGGTCGAGCCGACCCATTCGCGCTACAACTATACTATTAATATAGCTGCAGCATGGCTCTACCACGTATAAGCGTGACTAAGATGGATTGGCATGTTACCAATATAAGGGTTCTCCAGTTACCCACGAGAAACACACCAGTATTATGATGCTATTTTACGCTGGTATATTGTACGACTGCCTCTTTGGGCTAGTGATGGTAAACTAGGCTGATGATCTTGAGGTCGCAGGTTCCAGTTACGGGTCGAGTCAAAATCAATAATTGAGTTTTCCTGACAAGAAGTTCTCAGTAATAGACCAGAGTCAGGAAGATGACAGTGTTACACACACGTGCCTCGGAAAGCACGTAAAGCCATTAGTCCTGAGCCTGATCTAATCTCTCTGGCTTTGTCTGATTGCCATCCCATCGCACTATGACTGTGATAGAACGGAGAGCGCAACTCTGCTTGTGTATGCACTTGCGCACTTTAATCCTGTCCTGCGAAGATGGTAAGTCGCCTTTGAGACTGGACGCCGTGAACGAAATTCAGTCTGGAGGAAATTATATTGTCCGAGCGTAGTCCTTACCTAGTACAGCCAGTAGAACACTTATTATAGATGCAGCGTGAAAAGATATATTGTGCGAGCGTACGGAGTAGAGTCAGTGGAACACTTATTATGGATACAGCGTGAAAAGACCTATTCAATATCAAGTGAGAAATAAAATAATTTAAGTATTTAAGCGGGCTCCATAGTACAGATATGTTACGTAAAACTTGATATTTGAAAACAGATTCAGTGCGGCACCGCAGAACACATTATTGACTAATAATTTCGAAACGTCGTGGTTTAAAAATATGTGGTCAAAATTGTGTACTTGAGATAATTTTTTATTTTTATAGGATAAGGGTGACAAACGAGCACACAGTCCACCTGATGGTAAGTGGTTGCTATAGCCCATAGACATCTACATCTATCTTCGATTACGAATCAAAATGCAGATGCGTTGTCACCCGTGAGGACTAAGATGGAATGCCTCGTTTCCAGTAAAAAGGGTCTCCGGTTCTCTACACTCACCATATGAAACACAGCAGCGTTAAGCTGCTATTTTACGCTGGTATTCTGTGAGAGCGTGGTCCTTCACCGTTCGAGCCGACCCATTTGTGCTACAACCATAATATAGCTGCAGCACGGCTCTACCACTGCACAATTTCTAGGACTTAGTCCAATACGCGTTAGCTATATACATCTTACGAGAAGAACTCCACAGTACAAATAGCACAAAGCAACACTGTCATAAGGTATGTGCTTTGAGGACTTTAATGAACCTATAATGATACACTTTAGTGAAGATATAATTTAATTATTGCATCTGGTATAGTTTCAGAAAATAAAACTAGCACAAATTGTTGCAGGTTGACCAAGATTAGAGAGCGTGTATTATAACAAAATGAAAAAATTTACTATAGTTTCATCATTACACAAGTCCACTACTTACATAGGCCTCCCCCGAGGGAGCAAACAGGTACGATCCTTAGCCACCTGCATCCATCGACTTCCTGCATGTCTTACCAGGTCGTCACTCCATCTAGTGGTGGGCTGCTCTACACTTCCCTCACCGTTACGAGGCTGTCAATCGAGAACCTTTCTTCCCCATCGGTGGTCGGTTACTAAGACATAATTAATCACAAAATATTAAGCAATAAAAAAATCTGTAATAAAAGTACTTATTTAAA